ATTTATGTATATTATAACATCTGAAGACGCCCAATTAGAGACAGTGAGCTGGCGGGGGGTTGGATGGCCGAATGGTTAGCACGAGCGCGCTGTATCATACGGTCTGTCATTGAGTCAACTGGCGGGGTTTCGATTCCCCGGTCGTACGTGACAAGGAGTAGGGTCTGCCCGGCCACGCCCTGAAAATGGCGCTAATAATATGGTCAACAGTTACATGGCTGGAACAAAGATCCATACTAAAGTCTGCCCAACCACGTCCTAAAACTGTTGTTAATAATATGGCCATCAGTTACATGGCTGAAACTGACCAGAAACAAAGATCTATACTTGGATATATGATTTCCCCTAATCATTTTTCTTTTTTCAATATCAGTGTGGTTTTAAGGTTCATGTACATCTATATCCTTGTCATCACATGTTGCTTTTCAGGTCTTTGATGTTAAATATGTCTGTTAATTGTTTGAACTCTTCTAATTATTAGTAATAAGAATGGTTTCACATTGTACATATATACAGACCCTCAAGTTTACTAAATGTCTTGTCTGCGATATCGCCTCGGTGGAAGCGGACGTAAAATACAACTAACTAACAGCAACTACTAAATGTCAATGTGCTTGATAACGATAAGAGAATACTTATCGAAACGCCGTGCTTGTGTATAATGAACCAGTGATTGTTGTCCCATATAACTGTGTCAGTTTTATCTATACTTGGAAAATATAATTTTCAGAAATCTAACCAGTTACATGGCTGACACTTAACATAAAATTTATACTGATCAGTGCATAGACGAAGTGATTTTCGATAATCTTACTGTATTACTGTAAATGTTGGGTCTTTCCTTATAACTTAGCCCCATCCCATTCCCTCTATCTAAAGCTTATAATACTGTAATATCAATGATACCTTTTCAAACCGCAGCAGGATTAAAATACTAAAAAAAGGGTATAACAAATGTTTGTTAGCTATGTGAAATCCTCAAATGAGAAATGGTATCAGGTGTTGTAAAAAGAGTAAGCATACCATACCCAATTCACTGCACACTGCATTAATTATAGCCAAATGACTAGATAGGACTTGTATTAAATTTATGCCTTCAAACGTTCCGGAAAACTGAGGTCCCGTGTACACATTGGCGTGCACGTAAAAAAATCCTTTTGCAGTTGGAATTCGATATAAGAGTAGACCGTAGTGCCGCTGTCCGGGCAAAATTTTAAGCATATGCCCGTCTTCATTAGCCCATTCGGAGCAGAACATTAGGAAGTTAAACCCCATTACATTTAAATTTAAGGGGGGGGGGGGGCGAATGATAAGTACGTGCGCGCTGTATCATACGGTATAAGGTCTGTCATTGGGTCAACTGGTGTGGTTTTGATTCCCCGGTTGTACGTGACAAAGAGTAGGGTCGCCTGTCAAACTTCGTGGTTTTCTCCGGGTCCTCCGGTTTCCTCCCACTGCTAAAAAACCCTACACGCAAGCGAATTACTGAAACAAAATTGAACCATATGTTAGTCCCGAAATGACCAAGTAATAGTATTTTTGTAGACATAATTGAACCCAAGGCGAAACAAATTCCTTAGCAAAAACAACACTTCACAGTAAGTAATACCGAGATTATCCAGTGACTGGCTGTTAATTACCAAGCGATGTGACATATAGCGATCGCCATTATCCGGTGCTTTGTTTATAAAAGTTTCTTTGTTTATTTCTCTAGCCAATCTCTAGAATAATAAAAGATAAAGACTAAACGTCTATTGTAAATATTATTTATCAACGTAGCTTTATCGAAATAAACCTATGGAATCTGTAATATTCCTTTACAAATAACTGAGTGCAGATTATGGGTTTCAAACGATAAGTATCCCTATTTACATAGCATTGTAATGAACTTTGAATATGTAAATTATACACGATGACCAAGTTGTTAATTTCAAGCATCAGTCAATCATGTTGTGTTTGTTTTTGGACATAGTTATTTAAATATTTATTGCGATTATAATGACACGATGGCTGTTATGGAAATTAGTCATCGTATTTGTTCCTGATGTTAGTGTGATTGTCGCTTATTAATAATAATGTGTCAATAACGAGAGCGCAAAATATATATAAATAATAAGAGTAATGCAGGTTAATGTCTTTTTCACACAATTTTGCCACCAACATTGGTATTTATTTTTTAGGCGGGTGCAATGCGGGGTAGAAGAGTTTTACCGGGTTGGCGGTTTGGTTGGGTATCCGGCTTTCCTCTCGATACTATATTTTTTAACTGAAAACAAGACATCTAAACCTCACTGTTTAGCCATCCCAAAAAATGACATAATATACACAGAGAGATAGGGAGATGGGGTTTAACGTCCACTCGATACAAACTAGGTCATTTTGGGACTAACACATGGTTCAATTTTATTTCTAGAATTCGTTTGCGCGTAGGGGTCTTTAGCAGTGGGAGGAAACCGGAGGACCCGGAGAAAACCCACGAGGTTGGACAGGCGACCCTTCTCCTTGTCACGTACAACCGGGGATTCGAAACCACGCCAGTTGAGACATAATATACAATACGTTACAGATATAAAGTACAACACATTAACGACTTTTCTAAATATTCTGACAATCTATAATGTATCTCGAAAATAAATCATTTCAACCACCTGTTTTTGACATGCATATTAAACCTGGCTTCAAATTAACACACAAGAATCGTCTAGTTTAAGTATAATTTTGGCGTAATAATACAGTTTACGTAAAACAATAGTCTGATATTTCCCTTTAGTATGTAATTCTCGATTAGTTTCGAAAAACATTCAATAAGAATTAAGATTTTTTGTTCTTAAAATAAAAATGAGAACATATTGCCTACATCAGGTGTTCTATCAGGGGATTGACATATTAATGATTTGAAATGTAAAGTTGTTTATATCGTGCTGCACCAGATTCAGTGTGCTTAGTCCTGCCTACGTGTATGTCAACATGGAACAGGTGTGTTATATTCACGTGTTCAAGATTCAGTCCTGATATTGACCGTTAAAATGTATTATGTAAGATATAGATAAAGTTCAAACTTTCCGTTCTTGCTATAATAGGTCACAAAAGATGATACAAAATTGTATATATTGAAAACGTCAGCGAAATTACTTAATTTTTTAAGTGTTTGATGTTTTGCCAAGAATTCGCAATATTGTCCATTGACAGTTCATATTCTCGATTTTAAGACCCCATTCGACAGCCACTGTGAGTGTCGTCATATATTAACGATTATGATAGATCTGGTTCGTTGTCTATCAACTCAATATCTGATAAACTAGAAAGTTGATTATGGGGTTGCCATGTGAATAAATGTAGATAATAATCTATATAGCATAATACATCGTTAAAGGATTAATTCAACGTCCAAAACGAGAACAGAAATAGTTCGAAAAACAGACGCCAGTCATGCATCACCTATAGTTCTGATTATTTCTTTTAAAACGATAGATTTATTTCGGGTATATAAATAAACTGGGGGTATGGTACACAGGGATTTGAATAAGTAGGACTGCCCAAAGATTACTGTCCCCCTTGTCAGTGATGCAGGACGGAGGGCCTGACAAGGATAGCTGTCTAGTCGTTCGGGTGGTACGAAAAACCGAGGTCACGTGTACAAGATCCCTTGACAGTTGGAATTCGATATAAGAGTAGGCCGTAGTGCCGCTGACCGAGCAAAATTTCCCTCATAGCACACTGTATGGCGTATGGTCGTCTTCATTAGCCCAATTCAGAGCAGAACAGTAGGATGTTAAACCCCATTTCATTTCATTTCATTTCATTTCCTAAAGATTACTGAACAAGGATTATTGTAATCCATATGTTGGAAACGTTAGTAGTAATTTATATATAAGGAAATGGTATGACTTTAGTTTTTTTTATTCTAGAATAGATATGACAACCACTGATGTTTACGTATCGACCATAGAACTCTGAGTCATATTAGTTTAAAATCAATGACGGCTAGTATTGTCCTTTAAATTTATTATTCACATAAATTTTTTTCTTTATTTAGATGTCAAAATGTTGGCAAATGTCTTATAGAGTTACGACAAAATAAATATGTCACTGTACCGGCTGAAAAAGCTTCTAAAACATCGTAAGACTTACTTTTACAGCTGTGGCATTTGGTATATAATAATGAGTATACAATCACTACTTAAACTAAATAAGAAATCTGAACAAATAATAGATCAGTTCTTACATATTACAGATTTAATCCGGGAGACAAAGATGCTGATTTTTTTTTTGGAAATCCCTATAAAAGCCCACACAAAGAACGTTGTACAGACGGATACTCCGATATCAACGTCAATTTAATGAGGCATAGAGGGTGTTGGTTCTTCAGAAATACATCTTGAGCTGTCGAACACAACTCGATTTATTTCTTCAAGATCACTTCGAAACCAAACAAAAAATACACTAAACCTGTTTTATAGCCAATATCGTGAAATATTTCAATAGGTATAACAATGCCCTTTTACTTGCAGATCTATTTCTTTATTCTTAAAGGAACTAAATCGCTAATATTCTGGACCTAGAAATTAACACAAATGGGCCGCAACGGATTTAATAATGTAACATGAATGTATATAAACTGATTTACATTCAATCGTTGCTGTTTTTACTGTAATTTCTAATGAGAAATCTCATACGTATGGCAATCTCTGGCGTCTGGTTATTCCAGTCTACACCGATAGTATTTACTGCACATACTGTCTATTGCAGGTCTTTATTTTGATTTAAATGTTATTTAAACTATTATTTTGACATTTATTCACGTGACAAGCCAATAATTAATATCGACTGGTCGATATTTAAATGGATTAGAACACACGCCAGATTAAAAAAAAATAACGACAAATTGGATAATCGAGACCGAGTCTGGATTGTCAAATACCGTTGCTACGATAATAAACAATCTGCTCTACATCTTGTCAAAAGTTCAAAAACTCCTAACTTCGCTCAGTATAAAATAATTAAGATAAGATAAGATTTTATTGTATCATTACATCCACCAAGGACAGCATACACAGTTGATCATACAATTATAACATAACATCTGGGGTGATCCTTTATGGATGTACAATGTGATATAACAAGTCTATAAGCATTAAAAGATGGTCGGTATAATGAGAATCAGTATAGAGCTAAAACGAAAATTATCTAAACTAGCCTGAAAAATAAACAAACTACTTCTACCGTAAGTATTAGTATAATAAACATATTATATTGAACTTGGGTGTTGGTTAACAGGTAACTCTGATTCTCTTTCTTGGAGACACTTATATATATATGAAGCAACCTGACTGGCAATCCCGTTAATTTGACTGATATTTTCAATATATTCATTTTTCATTATCTGTTTTCGAACTATTATAGTAAGAACGAACATCTCTTTATCTAAATATCACATGATGCATCTTTAATAGTACACCCATATTATCTGCGCACTGCATCATTAAAAAGTATGGTTTTTAATTGAAATTACTGATAGTATTCACGGAATAATGATTCACTGTAGATTTTGTTTAGCTGCAGGCTTTGTATAGTTTGTCGACTTGTATAAAACATTAACGATACCAATATCATATTCTAGAAATATAATGTGCAGCAATATAATACAAAATGTTGAATTATATTACCGAGATGATCGAAATTATTCGTACATAACCCAGTGGTAAACCGCGTTTGCATTATTCATATTAATAGACTTAATGTTCGCTTGAGAAAGTCCATTCATCTCAAATAGTATCGCTAACTATTTATTATCTGCCAGTGTTGGTTGAAGCGATCGATGTTCTAGATCCAGCATAGATAGATGTATACAACCAATCAATCGGAGCAGAAGGGTATCTGTAACAGTTTTAAACTAAACAGCTTCTCATCTCATTACAGTATATTATGTTTTTGTGTCGCTTTTAATGGCGATATCTATTGAACCACACTGTAAAAAAAAAAAAAAAATTATAATAATAATTTTTAAAGTGTATGCTTGATGACTGCATTCAGCAGTTAAAGCTGTAATCTTCCATCCTTTGTAACTCAATAATTAAGTTATATCTAGAATATACTTCTTTGAAGAAATGGCAAAATTAATTTCCATAAAGTGTAACCAACCTATGTCAAACTAGGTCATTTCTGGACTAACATAATGATTCAATTTTATTTCAATAATTCGCTTGAGCGTAGGGGTGTTTAGCATTGGAAGGAAACCGGAGGACCCGGGGAAAACCCACGAGGTCGGACAGGCGACCCTACTCCTACTCCTTGTCATGTACAACCTGGGAATTGAAACCACGCTAGTTGACTCAATGACAGACCTTATGATACAGGGCACACGTGCTTACAATGCGGTCATCTATCCCCCACCACCCTATGGGACCAGAGACCATGGAGAGGGGTCGGGGTGCACGGGTGCCGAAATCGCAAAGCGCACAGCGAGGGAGGGTGGGGGGGGTTCTTCGGTTTTCTTCCCCCTGAGAAAATTTCGAAAACTAGAAGCCCTGAAATGCCGTTTCCAGTGAGACGACAACCCGGTTCTAAAATAATGAATTATAATGGGACTTTTTCAGTCAGAAATCCAAAAAGGGGAGAATACACCCCCATCCCCCACTAGATCTGCCTTTACTTCCTGTATGTATTAACCAGCCTGATTCTACGAGACAACGAAATAGTGCTGAAACCAGTACATATAAACATTCATTACATTTACATACGTAGAGACTGTGGCGTGAAGTGGCGGTCAGAGAGGGGTGATGACCCCCGATTTCCATTTCTGTGATACATTTTTTGAAAGTTGAAATTATCGCTTTTAACTTTCGTGTACAAGCTGCCCTATTTGGTTTGAATTAAAAAGTTTATTTCATCTGTTTTGGCATAAGTTTCTTTCTCACATTTCTGAATACTAGGCCTCTGTATACGCCATTGAATTGCATGATATTAATGTTTACTCGTTTTAAACAATCGTATAGCATACACTCTGTACAAAACTGCCTTTGTTACTTTTGGCAAGTTCTCAATTTATTTTTAAAAAAAGAGATCATAGTAAATGCTAATTATATCGGCCTGCAACCAGTTTCATGTTAATGACAAAAGCTCAAACAGAAAAAAAACCCCAACAATCTATTTTTGATAATTTAATATTTATATATAAGGGCCAGCTGGAATAACTAATCTAAACTGAATTAATTCAAATGTTCTCATTTACATATATTTGTACGAATATGTACTTTTCTGATTAATAAAATCGTTTTATAGTCTGACAATAATATAACGTATATATGACACAGCTGGGGGTGTTAATGAAGGGAGTATAGATGTCGCGTACTCCCTACAAGATCATATTCCCGAAACAATGGCCCGAGAAATCTCTCTCTTGCCATTCCTGGATTGGCCTCTGATACTTGAGCTTTTGAGGGGGTGTGTCTATTCTTCCCGTTCAATCAAATCTATCCCAAGAGAGCCCTTCGTTTAATCATGGGTCTTCCCTAAAAGTTTGAACAATGATTTAAGGTATTAAAAACGGTGAAAGTACTGTTCGTCTCCAAACAGTATTGTTTACATTGTAGCCGTTTGATAGCCTCGTTTGTCACGCAATTAATTTTTCTGCAATATTCTGCTATGCACTGGTTAATTGGGCGTTATACATTTCGTGAGTCATGACGTAACGTTATGTAAACATATTTGGTCGAATTTGGAGCTCTGTTTAAAGCCAAATGATATTAGTACGAAGTTAGGTTTTGGTTATTGACCAGTAATAATTTGGAACAGAAATTTCCTTCCATTACATCAGTGTTATGTGCGATTAGGTCTAATCAAACGAAACACTGCAAGGAGTATGTACAAGATGCACATAAGCAAAACAAGGAGGTTCTTTTAGTAACCACATCCCCACCCCAGTACAAGAGCATACACTGATTAAGTAACATCTTGTTATAACGATGGTTGGTTAGTAACCCAGCGCCTTACTCACTATATAAGCCAACGTGGCTCCAAGAATATACTTACGGTCTGTATACTAAAATGGGGTTTAACGTCCTATACGTTTCTGCTCCGTCCAAGCTAATGAAGACGGACACACACCATGCAGTGTGCTACAGGGGAGGTTTTGCCTGGAGAGTGGCACTACTGTATAGTTTTGTTTCGAATTCCAACTGTCAAGGGTTCTTTTACATGCACGCCAATGTTTTTATTTTCAACAAGACGCTGTTCCTTGCCTGTCCCATTGACAGGGTAAACAGATCCAACAATCCCAGGATCAAATCCTGGACGTCCATTTTAGCGACTCATTGAACTACATTGTCCCCCACCCGGTCTATATACAGTTTAAAGGTATGTAGTTGATTTTAAAGACTTTACAGAATGCGCAAACATAGTGCACTAAACATCTAAAGTAATCCTATATCTCAACCAAAACAACCGTGAGCAGATATAATTTCGTTGTGTTGCAGTGCAGTAAATTTCTATTAACCTATTTTAATTTTTTATTTACCTAGTTACACAGATGTTGTAAATAAATTAATATTGAGGCAGGGTATTATTATTATTATTGTTTTGTGACATTGACAGCTAAACACTGATTTATTTCTCTAATACTATGACACATTTTTAGGATTCATTAATTCTCCAATATGTAAACTGGTACATCAACTACAAAAAAATAGATCTCGATTGATTGCATTTTCTGAATAACTGATACAAATTAAGCCTACTATTATTATGTGACACCAACAAGGCTGAACAAAATAGTGACCCTTTAACACGAATTACTCGCAATACACTATTCACTCTCAATTTTCATCTCTTTCTTGTTCACTCGCGGTTACACCTACAGATAAAGATACTATGTAGTACAGTAGTCAAGTCTTAGATATTCGGTTTGCTTTCCTGTTTCCATGTAATGCTGGGGTCTGCTATTTTTTTTCAATATTGAAAATGACCCTTCATATCTTTTACCGGAACATTAGATAGATATGTAAAGGTTCCATTTACATCACAATACACACAATTATGCCGTATTCCGTTTAGTAATAAAACACTTCGCCGTTTTATAAACGTATACACATTGCCTCCTGTAACGTAACTTCTTCTCCGAATTCCAATCTTCCTTAACCTTACGATTATATCAATGAGCAAAGTGTCAATTTTAAATAAAATATTTATATATCTAATTTAAACAACTACGAAATATGATTAATTCATATCAGAATACATATGATGAGTCATTTACCGGATTTGATAACATTTAAAAATAAATTTTCCATGAAGTTATTGATGTTAGCAGCACTTCCGGTAGAGCGGTAGAACGACACAGAAAGGTAAATAAAGATGCATTAAATACTTTTTAACTTATAATATCACATTTGTCGATACATCAAGTAGTATATCGTAATATTATAGACCACTGACCTTCATTTACAAAAACTTGTACTTCTTTTAATATCAACATTATGCATATAGAGCGTTCTAAAAATTGATAAAAACCGAACTGTCAATATCTAAGCCATCATGGCTTCCGTTGTCAAGTGTTGGTAAATGTTACCAAAAAGGCTTTTTTCACCTAGATTATTAGAATAATAAGTATTTTGAAGGTTTGATATAGAATTTTTGTGGGGCAAATTATTTTTCTATGGAGTACCAATTGCAACACATATTTTCAAATTAATCATTCAGCTGGATATTTCCACATTCAGTAGTTGACTATTAAGTGTGCAATCTAAAATTAAACACTCTCTTGAGTGTGAATGAATGTTGAATAAAATTTATTACAAAATATTTTACTGTAAAACTTAATTAATATGTCCAATGTTTAATTGTCAGTGTATCTTTATGCTTCCAGGCAAAAGGTTTCGACGGGTAAATTGAGAAATCCTAAAAAATGTTAACAATAGCTCAAAAGCAGTTTCAAGGAAATTTTGATGCTGTATTTATTATTTTCCATCTATACCCCAAATATTAAATCCAGATGGTTTGAGATGGTAGTACATAGTTTGATTGTATGGATTTAGTGTGCTACAGAATGATAACCTGCTTCATGTTTTCCAAAATTACAAACTCCAAAGTCATTAATTTTGATTTTTTTTTATCCATGATGTGCTGTTCATTATCATCTCAAGCAAGTTAGATACCAAAATTCAGACACTAAACCTAGGCTCATAAGTTGGAATACAGTAAACTAACTTGCTCGATATGATTATGCAAAAGGGGCCACATAAGGGGAGATGTGGGGGTGGGGGCTGTTTCTACTATAGTTTAGTTTAACTGAAATGGGGTTTGACGCCCTACTTATCTGCTCCGAGTGGTTTAGTTCAAAATCCCAGAATTCGTTTTAGCCAAATTGCACACGATATGTCTTACATGACAAAGTGTAGAGTTTCTAAACAATACATAGAAACAAATTGGTCAGATTTGGTGTTTTTTCTATTTAGCTGGAAGTTCCAAGTATACCACAGAAAATTACAGTCTTCAGAAGCGATTTCATCCCAAATTTCTTTATTCTTCAATATATGAACAAAGACTTGGCATTTTGTTTGAATTCTAGATGTTATGGAATCTCTTAGTATACCGTTAATATATACACGGGGCCTTCATGCTTCCCTCTCATCTACAACACCAGTGTCCGAATATCCTGCCGCAATATTAACAGCCTATCAGCCTTATTTCATTTTAACAAGCAGTGCAACTATTTTGAATCAGAGTATAGTTATAGTTTTGACACTATCTGGTTATGGATACAGTTGTTACCGCATATTGTATATTTAGGTTTTTTATATTTACAACCAGGATATGTATATTTAATAATATTTATATCACGTGATCTGTAAAATATACAAAACATTCTGCCGTAATCGTGACATGCACACTTTTAAAATCATTTTAAAAATATGAGTTTTATGTTTCACATGACATGTCCTAAATGTCGGACACATTCCTTGTGATCGACGATAACCATGGAGCAGTCAAAAATATAAGACTATCATTTGTCAAACCGATTTTCTAAACGAATATTCAATAGTACAGTACTCATCCGTCCTCTGATCGAAAAGAAACCATGGGAGGACGAACTAAACCAAAGACGTCCAGCTTATTTAAGCTTTCGACCAAAGTATCGTGTGTGAAAAATCCGTGTAAACATTGGAATGCACGTAAAAGATCCCTTGGCAGTTGGAATTCGAGTAGGCGATAGTGCCGCTGCCCGGGCAAAATTTCCCTCATAGCACACTGTATGGCGTATGCCCGTCTTCATTAGCCCAGTATAGGAGCAGAACAGTAGGACGTTAAACCCCATTTCATTTCATTTGAAGTTAGACATGTGATTATCGGTTATTGTTAATCCTTTAAATGGAAACTTTTATAAAGTGATCTTGTTTAGTTATTCGGAGGATTAAAACCCAATAAACAAAAACAAAAGTCAGCTAGATAACATACCATTTTCACCTAATGTGACCAAAATACCAGAATACCACAAGCGGCACCGAAGGAAGACCATCACGGCATCAGTGCCACCAACACCAACAAAAACCCCAGCGAAACCAACTTTGTATATTAATCTAATGTATTGCATGTATTTTTTAAAAATAAAACTAGGAAATATCACGAACCAAATTTACATCATCCTAGGTCAGTGCTTATGTAGAGACTTGACATATGCCCCAAATTCGTAAACCTAACCTACAGTCTCGCCAACAATCACGTGCCCTACCTTTATTTACACCTCAATGACCTTGACAAAAAATTATCTATAAATTATAGATAAATGAAATGGAGTGTAACGTCCTACTTTTCTTCATGCACCAACATGGCAATGAAGAAAATGATGAAACGTGAACAGTAGGATTGTAATGTTTATATCTATGGAAAAAAAAAATCAACTAAACAAATGCCAAAGAAAAAGATCCGGGTTTATAGTGGTACTATCGTAAACACTTGTTTGATTCAGGTCATAATTTTATATTGCATAATATGTCTGATGTTAAAGTCAGGCTAACTTTTTGAAACCTATACAATGTTTAGTCAGGAAAGTGGGTCAATATCTTTATTAAATCGAACAGTAAACCTTTAAAAAATACATATTGTGACTTTTAGTTGAGCCGTATTTGAAAACAACAATGGGGTTTATCGACCTCTGATGGGTAATAGATTTCTATCCACGAAAATCGGGGCCAAGATGGTATTTAATTTATAGGCTGAGTTTTTATTTTTTTTTGTTAAATTAAAAAAAGGAATGCCCCTTTAGCTTTTTGCCACACGGCGTCTGTAACTATTCCCCTTTTTCTTAAGTTACACTCATCATTGTTGGTTTGTTTTTCATTTTGAGCGACCCTTATATCACTTTACGTCCGGGACTGTACAGCGAGGTGAACGCTTATGGGTAGCCCCCGGATCCAGTCACTTGATCTGGTGTGTTAATTGTTGTTTGAAGGGCTGCTTATATTGTTTCCTGTCCGTAGATCTGTCGTGAGTAATTGTTTGTGTGTGGCGTGCCCCACCCCCACCCCGATGCACGTGTATTACTAAAAAAATATATACTTATGTCACAATGACTAAATAATTATTAAACGATCCATATGATACCATTGCAGAGATAGATTATACCATTTCAGTTCAGGGAGAACGCTAGATCGGAAACGGTCCTGTGCATTTTATGACGTCATATGTGGATTAGGGTTAGGGTAAGGGTTAGACTTGGGTTAGGGTTAGGGCTAGCCCTGTCTACATCTCGAGACTCTGACGAAATCTGCAGGTCCTAGCCCTTACCCTAACCCATATCCTAACCCACAATCCACATATGACGTCATAAAATGCGCAGGACCGTCTCCGATCTAGCGTTCTGCTCAGTTTCAGTTCAATGCCGGAGATATTTAGACTGCAACTGGCTACATTATAGAAGAAAAATAAGAAACTTTATTGCATATAAAACCTTACAAGGTTATGTGCATATACAAATAAAATTGTAATAAAATATACATGAGCCAAACAAAGGATACATACATGAACATAATTATATAAACATATATACTTTATATACTGGTGAACGTGGTTTAATTTAGACGTCAGTAAAACCCACTGCACAAAGTAGGTAACATAAGGCAGGTTACTCAACACCACCTCGATTTAGCCGGGGTTTTAAATCTGTACAAGTAGTTCAAGGTTATACGCTTGTTATTGTTATTGTTTTGGAGCAGTAGATGTCGTAATGTAGATCTTAAAACAATATCAAATTTTAACGAACATATTTTCGTGAGTCTTGACACGTTTACGACACGTCATTTGTTAAATTAAGGATCTAAAAGCTTAATACAGGAATTCATTCAAGTGGCAAGGCAACGGACGTCTAAAATTATTACGGATACGAAACGTACAAAAATACTTATTTATTCACGTTACGCATGAAATAATCGGGATTATTTTGCGAGCATTTTTACCGTGTGTTAGAAGGCAATATGATTACATTTTACTAAAATATGATATCGGGAATTGGTGTAGTTTATTTTATCGGCAGTCGTTTTAAAAATAAGTAGTCTATCGTAATTATACTAACTTTGACCTATATCAATTTATTAATAGCTTACATCACGCCACCACGTGCCATGATTAGCTGCAGAAGCGCATGCGTGCTATTTTTCTGCAGGAATAATAACACTTGCAACAACGTGTTTCACACGATTTATGAATCTAGACAATATGTTGGCTGGTCTCCTAGACAAATCGTGTTATGCAAAAACGCATGGCGATATGGCCTATAATGCATCCTACATAATATAACGGTTGAAAACTCAATTCTTGGCATTTTTAGGGAGAAGAAAGAATTCCTTTGCGCCTGTAGTACAACCATTATGGATAAATTTATCTTTTCAGCATGGATAAACAAAGTTGTATATGCTGCAAATGTTTTGTTAGCACTGCAGTACTGTCGGCCATTGTGTATACTTTTATGATTTGATGGTTGTAAAATATAATGTTCAGGCATTTAATAATTTATTCCCCATGCACCTCTGCGCCGTCTATGTTGTGGTTCAGTGGCGGGTCTCTCTCTCACTCTCTCTCTCTCTCTGTCTCTCTCGTTTATTAGGTCTATTTTTAGTTTGCAACCTCGTGGATTTTCTTAGGGTCCTCCGGTTTCCTCCCACTGCTAAAGACCCATTATTGACCCATTATTGAAATAAAATTGAACCATGTTAGTCCCGAAATAACTCAGTTTGTGTCGAGAGGACGTTAACTCCGGTATCTCTCTCTCTCTAAATGCATTGGCCGAGAAAGTTCATCGGGATCTCCGATTTAGTTTCCCCTTGTCAGTGGTGCAGGACGGAGGGCCTGGCAAGGACAGTTGTCGAGTCGTTGGAATGGGACGAAAAACCCATAGTGGGCCATAGTGCCGCTGCCAAGGCAAAATTCCTCTCATAGCACACTGTATGTCGTATGCCCGTCTTCTTTAGCCCCAGTATAGAAGCAGTACAATAGGACGTTAAACCCCATATTGTTTTTGTATATACCTGTAGCAACCGCTAGGATATTAAGTGAAAAATGTTTGCGTCGTAAAGATGGTTCCAATTATGAACAAAACGATCAGGTATGCCAGGTAGTAATATTTCCCTTGAGCTTAATAAAAACAACATTAGGTAGCCACAGTGACTCAGTGAGTAAGGGGTCCCGCGTTCGATCCAGGTGTTAGCCACGCAATTTCCTCGTTCGAATGACCTTGTGTACAGGTTGGGAGAACCCCGTGTTCAGAATCACCGTAGCGCGTGTGTCCGGGCAAAATTTCCCTCATAGCACAAGTATGGCGTATGGCTGTTTTCATTATCCCAGTTGATGCAGAAAATCAAGAAGTTAAACTCCATTTCATTTTATTTCCTATCAGGTTGTAATAAAATAAGCTATAGATTTAAATTAAAATTTATAAAAACTCACTCAACACGGTACAGGATGCCATTTTAATATAATGCATACAAATATCAATATTAATAAGCTATTAATTTTTCTCCAAGTTGACTGAACCCTGCTAAAATTCACCAATAGAATATATTTAAACTGTCCTTGAACTCAACTGACGTCTCTAATTGGTATAATATGCTTCAGAGATTTGGTTTCAGCGCTTTACCTACTTCAAATTTTATTATTGATAATATTATAATAAATATACTAGTGTAAAGTAAACAAGATATCCTTTCAACAGGGCATACTAACCATTTGATCATAATAACAACACAGTTTACAATAAATTATAATATTGTGTATGCATAATCGATTCATCCATTTGTATAGCTTATGCGGGACTTCGCCTTAAAGATGCACTACGTAATAGTAGCAAAGAAAACCAATAAGATAAACCCGTGGAAAAGACAAACTATATAAAGACATTGCAAGAAATAAACAGAAATATAAAATGGTGTGAATGGATCCTGGGGCCAGCTGTAAGCGTCCACTGTGCTTACTTTGAATGTAATACTCTACAATTTTCGTCACTAATTTCGATTGGTCTTGGATACAGCTCAAGAACTCTCAGATTCCTCGATAGAAAATGCGAAGTCCCGCGCTTTCCGACTGAAGTGTCTAGCTGTGATAATCGAGTTGCAAAGTTCAAGGTTCGTTCAATGTCAAGGTTGCTGGAACTTTTCAAATTATCCGCAATGATTATGCTATGATCCACTTCTTTCTAATGTACTTTTCTGTTCTTCCATTATGCTAGTAAGGATGTTTTTGTTTGGTTTTCCGTGAATTTTTTTTTTCAACTAAAAAAAGGTTTTCAACAGCTGTAAACGAAACTATTCCGGTATGTGTTTATATCATGTGTCTGGTAAAGGGAGACAATGTACCTAAAAGTTTGGGAATTTCAGACTAAGCTAGCAACGGTTAGATGTTGTAAAACCCGCATACATTGTTCTGTGCAAAGATATGCGTGTTCCAAGTTTTGAGAACATACAACTTAAATAGTCTCGATTGCCAAGTATCACTACTACAAAATAAACAATGTCTCGGTTATCCACTTTTACGTTAATTAATTTATTAATTTATAAGCCATAAAGTATCTATCACTAAAGTTGATTTAATGTTAAGTATAATGAGTGCTGTTTTAGAGGAAACGTTGTGCAGTAACAAAACAATATTTCCTTCCCCTACTTTATTTAAACTATATTGATTAAAGGTCTGCATATTTTATACACACAACTAATTGGGAAGTCTATGCGATCTAATACTTAAAAAAGATTAATTTACAATCTTGAGGTCATGGCCATGGGCTTTAAAGGAACTGGGCCCTGTTTCTCGAAATCTCAACTAAAGATAAAATCGAAATTTTAGTAGATACTTCAATTTTGATTGGCTAAGCGCTAAAATCAATCTAATATTATCCAATCAAATTACTAAAATTTGGATTTTATCTTAGTTAAAATTTCGTGAAACATGCCCCAGGTCACAAGTACGAATTGTTTAATAGCAGTTAACGTTTTTAATCAAATAAGTTGTATCGGACGTTCATGTGACTTCGGAATTTATGTTATTTCCAGCAGGCAGTCTTTAACAGTTTGGGGAAACCCGCGGAACAAGAGAAAACACTTTAGGTTGGGCAGGTGACATACACACTTGTCACGTACAAGCGCTGCGATCGAAACTGCGCCACTTGACTCAATGTCAGACC